GGGCAGGGGATTCACCGCCACGTGGCGTCGCCAGAATCGTGAAACCCCCTCCCCTGTGGCCGCCACGTGTCCGCGAATCCGTGCGTCCGCGCGGACACGTTCGCGGGATTCACGGACTGGCCGCGGCCGCGGACTTGGCCGCGCCTGTCCGCCGCCGGGGGGGATTCATAGGTCCATGGCAGTTTAAGTTTAATCTTATTAACCTGCCCTACTTCCTGTGGAATTTTTCCCTTTTGATCTGCATCCCCTGTCCCCTTTTTGTCATCATCGCCGTCATCGCCGCCATCTCCTCCTTCGCCTCCAGCTCCCTTGACAATCTTTTCTTTGACCTATGGAGTGAAGGTATTGGTGACATGTTCATCTAATGCCCTAATGTACGTCTGGATGTGCTGGTCAACATTCTTTGCTGATTTCTCCAAGAAATTATTCCAGCCAGATTCAAATTCAGTCCGATGAGTTTCTACCCTTTGTAGCGTCTGATGCATTAAGGCCATTTCTTGCCTTGTGTTGAGGACGACCTCTCTGAGCAGAGCAAGCTGTTCGTCTATTGCAGAGGGTTTGTCTTTTTGAGCTTCTAATGCTTTCTGCAATTTTCCCCCCTCTGCCTACAGCCTCTTTTTTTCTTCCAATTCTCGCCGTTTGCCTGCTAACAATTTGTTATTCAACTCAGCCCTCTTCTCCTCCAGCATCAAATTTCGTTCGAGTGTGTTGATTATAGTGGCCAACTTTGCGATGAACAGATCTCGTTCTTCTTCAGACTCACGTAATGGTTCGCTGGAGTAGTAGTACTGACCAGCCCAGTCCAATGGTTCAACTGGCAGCCGGTCTACTGCGGTATGACTACTCTCAGGTAAGTCAAGGCGACGATGTCTTACTAAAGTCTCCTCTTCTACCTGTTCTTCTTCTTCCTTTTCTTGGATACTCTTCAATTCTTCTTCAAATTCTTTATCCATATTTTCCTTCAATTTCCTCTTTGCTTCTTCTTTTTTCTGTTTCTTTTTAGCTTCTATCTCTTTCTTTTTCTCTGCCAGCCTGCGGTCAATTTCTGCCTGTTCCGCAGGTGTGGGCCCAGGTGTTGCTGTCCCAGATCGAAGTAGCATCCGGGACGCACACACGCGTCCGAATCCCAGAGGGAACATTTAATCGGAACAAGGGTCCCAACAGAACAGAGAGGGCCAATAGACTCTGTATGGGATAGTCGTCCATGGTGATGATCGGCACAAGGGGTCCTCAACAGGGTTAACCACAACACTATCCCACTCAGACTTGCTTACGAACGCAGTCTTAACTTATGGCGAATGGAGTACTGCACTTCCTGTTTTTTTTTATAGCTATGGAAGGTGCTGCACACAATGAATACTCAATCAAACTTTTGGTGGGGGGGTGCTGCCCTACCCCCCCACACAAAAAAAAAAATGAAAAAGATCAACTTTTGGTAAGGGGTGTATGGGCGAAATCCAACGAAAATGTAAAAAAAAAAA